AATATGGACCCTATATAATTTTATAAAATAGGACTATACTTTTTTAAATTTAATGTACATGTTATTATGCATTGTGCATGGTATTTGCTGAACATATTTTCACAAGACCATCAGTACCACTTCCTTCACCAAGAGGTGGATTGCAATAAGACAAGCAAGAATTATTTCATTGGTCAGATGTCGTTATTATATTCCCCTAAAAATATTTTTGTGTTAGGTAATCCTCGAATCCCATCTTCAGAACTGAACCCACCCAAGTCATTGGATTCAGAGCGTCTGACAGCTTGATTTAATCAGTCTGGAAGCGCGTGTGGTTCCGGGGGTACCCGCGACACGGGCAGAACAAGGAGAGACCTCGCCTGCTCTTGTTTAGAATAGATCTTCGTCGTAGATTGGTGAAAGAGGGAACAAAAGAAATAAAAACAAACCCTCAGACAAGACACCGCTGGCCGAGAGAGGCCGACCTTTGCTGTTAGGTGGTTGGTTGCCAGTAACCGAGATTTGTGAGGTAACACGAGGGGAAAGGCTGGAACAAGGGTCGTGGGGTTGTTCAAGAAGTTAAGCTTTATTCACACATCGCAAAATGGAAGAGATCGCCCGTGATCAAGATGAATAGTCAACTATGAAAAGTCGGGAAAATCTGTATAAATGTTTACTATTGTGAATGATAAAGATCAAATTAAACGATTAAAGCACTATCATACTACACGTTGCTTTTTTAAAACCATTCCTTCAAGACCTTACCTATAGTGAGACTGGCACATAAGGAAAAGTTGGTGTCTAATTTCCAGTGAATAAATTACGACGGCAAATATGTGATGTTGCTGACGAATATGATAAAGGTGTGAATCATTGTCTGACGCCTCATAAATTAAAAGACGTAACGCGGTTCATTAGGACAAAGGAGCTGTTGTATATGTACAGCGTGACTGTATCATTATGGTTCAGTATTGTATATCTAGCAATTTTTGTAAGCATTAAATAAAGTTCACTTTTTAAGGTAAGCTCATCGATGTGTTTACAATCTGATCTTTTTAGCCTACCCAGTTACGTGTGGTATGCATAAAGATAATAATCAAAGGTGTAACGAGATGTTAACTAGAAGAAAATAATATTATAGGGATATAAAGTAGGAAAAACATGATGAACTAACAGTGCGTTGTGTTCGTGCGACTGGTGCTTTTGCAATAGCAAAAGTATACGATTTAACATTAATACTTGACATCAATAAGACCTTTTTTTAGAAAAGCAAGAGCTGTATTATCCCCTCCCCCCTCCCCATTTCAATCATGTCTGATCTCTCCGTTCCTCCCATTTCCCCTCCCTGTCTCTG